GAAAAATCATACAATTATAGATGTAAATTTTAAAAGAATTTCAGAAAACAAAAAATAGCAACATAATTTATTCAATTAGCTTATAAGAATCAACATCCATAGACCAATAGTATTCATGTATATCAAAACTAATTATAAGAAAAAATTGAAGAGAACCCATTTTTAATAGCAAAAAATTAAGTAATAAGATGTCAGGCATATATGTAAAGAAATCTAAAGCTTACTTTTAAAAAAAAAACCTAAACCAGGGCTGAAACACACAAGGGGGTACTATATAAAATAGATAAAATACTTGGTTTCTGGATACAAGTTTAAAAACATAAGTCAAACTTCTGCAAATACAAAAAATTGTTATAAATTTATAGTTTATAAATTATATACTCTTAATTTAAAATATCACATGATTTTTTTATTTTCTAAAGGGGACAAAAGGGTTATTAAGTTCCTATGGAAAAACAATCAAGCCAAGAATAAGTAGTAAAATCCTGTAAAAAATAAAGAGTAATGAGAAAGGACAAAGGCTAACAATTTTCAAACTGTGTGATATTGGTGCATAAAGAACCTAAGAAATCCAGAAACTGATTCAACTATAGATGGAAATACGGTCTTAAAAAGGTATCAAGTTCTTAGTATTGTATGTATGAACTACACTGAATTGATTTTCTTCATATTAATATCACATTAAAATGAAAAAATAAAATCTTGGGGTTGGCATTGTGGTGTAAAACAGAGTAAAGCCACAGTTTGCATTGCTGGTATCCCATATCAGAGGGCCGATCCAAGTCTTGGCTACTTAGCTTCTAATCTGGGTACACTCTAACAAAATGAGACAAGATCTAACAAAGGAAACTGCAAATCTCTGATGAGGAGAATTAACTGTTTGGAGATGCATTCTGTATTCATGGGTAAGATGACTCAATATCAAAATATTAATACTTCTGCCTTTTGAGAATAGATACAACATAATTTCAATCAAAAATACTGGCACGTTATTTTGTGAATAGAAACAAATTGATTCTAAAATTTATGTTGAGAACTGTAAGACCCAGAATTGAAAACTCAGTATTCAAAGAAGGATTGCCACTAATATGTTACTAGAAAGCTAATCAAGACAGTGCAACACTAGCAAAAGAATAGGTAAATGTACCAATTCAACAGAATAGAGAGCCCAGACACAGACCCCGGTGGATATGGCTAACATACCGTTGATAAAAGAACAAAGGAAATAAATGGAACAGTCTTTTCAGTAAATAGTGCCAAAACGACTGGACATTTACTTGGGAAATCGATCAACCAATCAATTAGCCGATAGACCTCACATGCTTCACACAACTTAAAAGGGCCGTAGACTTAAATGTGAAAAAATAAAACCATAAACCTCCCAGGGAATCATGTAAGAGAAAATAGTAGACAGGTTGGCTATGCTGATCACTTTCAGATACAGCATCACAGGCCCAGTCATTTAAATGAATGACACCTCCTCTGTGACAGACATTGTCAAGAGAGAGGGAAGGACCAAAACAGAGAGAACACTTCCACAAGACACGTATCATAAAGGAATACATCTATTCCCCAAAACATACAAAAAGTTTTTAAACTCAACATAAGGAAAAAAAAACAAAACAGATTTAAGGTTGGGCAGAAACGTGAAATGCATGCACAGTGAGAGGAGTCCAGACACGCAGGGTTGCCCTTGAATATTTCAGCTGAAGACTGATCAGCACATGATGGGAGGACAACAGCTGCCTGCTAGCGAGTGAGGGAGCAACCCCCAGTGCCCACAAGGAGCTGCATGCATTGCCTGTTCCCTGCGAGCAGAGTCCAAGACCTCATCATTCCTGAGGCATGGAGTAGAGTATTAAGAAGTCTTACCTTGGTAATAGGAGAAATTGATCCCACACTCTTCTGCTCTAGTACCATCTAACAAGGCCTCACGTGTTAAGACTCAAAAAAATCAAATTGTTTAAGTAACTTAAGTGATTTCCAGAACAAAGCTAAAATACCCAACACCTAAAACAATTGGACATTCAGATGAAAATGATCATGGATACAGACTTCACCTAACACAAAATTCAATTCAAAATGAATCCTACACCTAAATGTACACTGCAAAACAATAAACTGTCTACATGGGAAGAAAGGTAACCTTCGGTTTCATAATTAGATTTCAGGACAACACCAAAGGCAGTATTACCTGAAACAAAAATTAATAACTTTGCCTTTGTGAAGGTTAAACACTCAGTGTTTGTGAAAGACAATGGTAAAGGATAAAAACACAAGTTGCAGCTAGAAAATATATTTGTAAGTCAAAACTCAGATACTAGGTTGGTATCTGAAATATACAAGTATCTCTTAAAATTCAACCTTAATATGCACCCCAATTAAAACTGGGTAGAGATGTAAGACAATAACTCACCATAGAAGATCCATAGATGCCAATAAGTACATGCAAAGATACTTAAAATAGGCCATTAGGGAATTGAAAATAAAACCACACTGAGAGGCCAGTACACACCCACTACAACAAGGAAAATATTAAACTACTGACAAAATTAACAGTGATGAAGAACAGGAAGCCCACTTGCTGATGGTAGGCATACAAAGTAGGGCAGCCACCTGAACTTCAATTCAGCAGTTTCTATTTCTTTATGTATTTATTTTATGTAGTTGAAAGGCAAGCAAACACAGCCAAGGAGGGAAGAAGAGAGAAAAGGAGGAAGGAAGAAAGAGATGGATGGATGGGGAAGGGAGGGAAGGGAGAAAAGAAGAAGGATTTCCCCATGTGTTTTCTCATACTCAAAGTGCCTACAACAGACAGGGTTGGGCTAGGCTGAAGCCAGGAGCAAGTAATTTAACCAGGGTCTCCAACATGGGTGATAGTGACCCAGCTCTTTGAGCTGTCAATTCAAAGTCATGTACAAATTAAAAGGAATCTGGAATCGGAAGCTAAACTTGAACCTGGGAACTCCAATACAGTAGGACAGAGTCCCACGCTGCATCTTAACTGATAGGCCAAATGCCCGCTCCACAATTTGGCAACTTCCTAGACAGGTAAACAAAACACATGAGAATTAAACAAGTAAAATGAACCTAGAGATTTACTCAGGTGGTCTGAAAACTTAAGTTCATACTAAAACGCAGCATGTGAACCCTAATATCCACTTCATTTATAGCCACTAAACTGAAAGCCATAGAGACACTTTCACAGGTGGGTACATAAACTCTGGGACACCCCTAAACACAATGCTATTCAGTGGTATAAGGGCAATGGCTACCATGTCACAGAAAACATGCTGGAATCCTAAAGACATACTTCTGGGTACATACAGAGATGGGCAACAGAAAAGTTGCTGTGAGAAATGGCCAACACTAAGTACTACTATGGCAGTCAAACTCTTCTGTTGGAGACTAGTAAAGTGGGTGCAGGACGCCATGAATTTGTCTAAATCCACAGGAGTTAAAATCTGGAAATTAAAGGAAGATAACTTAGGATGTCAGGCAACTCATGGCTGAGATGCAGAATGCAGAGAAACAATCTAAACTGATCTGCAAGTGTGTAAAATACCCTCACTGAACCGATGGAAACCGTGCCGACTTCAGTAGCTGGAGTCGAGTGGAGTCTATCGCACCGAGAACAGCACGTGCCCTGCTTGAGCTTCGTGATGTGTCTGAACCACAACGAGTAAGTGGAAGGAAGCAGATTGGTCACTGTTCGAGTGGCATCTTACAGGTACGCAAGGATGGACCAGGAAGATTCATGTGCTGAGAGATCACAGTTGCAGACAGCAGCATGAACACGTGCTCCGAATACAGATGCAGAAGGTTACACTGACGTGTCTCTGTAGATTTATGCCATTCTCAGGTTTGTAAACACACATCTAGTTCCTTGTTGTCAGCTCCAAGTGCAGAAACCCTCAAAGCAAGGAGAACACCCTGCAGGATGGTCTTTCTGGCGATCCGACACCATAGTCAGGGTCATCTCAAGTCTTAGTATTAATCAAGTGAGATCCAAAGGGCTCATGACTAACAAAGATATTGTTATTGCTCATAGAGTTCCAAATATGGAGAGTCTCTCTCAGGAATCAGGGACAAAGGTTAAAGACTCTTCTTGAAAGAATTCAGGACCCCTGTAACCGGAGGCATAGCACTTGAGGCCAGGAACCGCCTCTTCTACTCAGTCTCCTGGCCTGCACCTGCTCCTATTTGGTGATGATACCTGCTCCCTTCTTGGAAGCTGGATCCTCAGGGCCCACACTTTCTTGCAGCATCAAGACAATAATCCCAGTACAACACAGCACCAGAAAACTACATTTCTCTGCTCCCCACAGAGCTCCTGGCCCTCTGTTCAAAGGAAGAGACAGCCCCACAGGCATATGGGCAGCAACTGGTGCCTGGGTCCCAGGAGGACAGCTTGCCTGGAGGACAAGGAGATCTCTTGTCCCACTTTCCCTGCCCAGAAAGGATGCTCCCCACTCAGCTTGGCATCCGGGCGTCTCCACCAACCATGTCTGCTGCAGCACAGGGAGCTTCTCACCCCACTCCCAGCTGTGTAACACATGTTTCCAATAGGCCCACAGCAGACTTCTCTGCCCGCACTTGAGATCAGAGCCAACCATGTCACCTACATGGGGAACCATGTCCTCACACAGACTCATACCAAGGGCACCCAGCCCTTAGGGTCTGTGTGTACACACTCAGCACACAATGGTTCAGCCAGCATCATTCCAAGCAGCTGTCAGAAGAGGCCAGTGCCACCTAACTGGGAGTGACTCTCCCTAAGACAGCAGGACTTAAAGACAGCACATCCTGTTCACCTACACTCAGATCCAAACGCACCCTCCAAGGTGATTCGGAGACAAGACTTGCTGCCCTCATGTTGGTGGGGGCCAAGAGGCTCCCAGGACTAACTCCTGCCTAAGGTCCTAGGGCAGCTGGCTGACAAGGCACTGCTGAACAAACCAAGCCTTGAGCAAATTCAGGAGGGAGGTAGATGGACTCACCCCAGGAATGCGACTTCTTTCCCGACGAGTGTCCGCTTGGAGCCTGGAAGACAATGTGAAGATTCCTCAGAATTTTTCTGAAAAATTACATAACAGTGATCATTGCACTATATAAATATGAACACATCACATTCTACACTTCAAACAGATCCAGTGAAAATAACAAAGTTGTACTGTCATAAAGCATTCTTGTTCTGGTAGATTATGTGTTACTTTTTTTTAATAAGATTTATTTATGTATTTGAAAGGCAGTGTTAAAGACAGAGAGAGGTCTTCCATCTGCTGGCTCACTCCCAAAAGGCCGCAATGTCTGGAGCTGGGCCAATCTGAAGCCAGGAGCTGCTTCTGGGTCTTCCACATGGTTACAGGGGCCCAAATTCTTGGGCCACCTTATACTGCTTTCTCAAGCCAGAGAGCTGGATCACAAGTGAGGCAGCTGGGACTCAAACTGGCACCTATATGGGACGTCGGCACTGCAGGCGGCGGCTTTACCCACTATGCCACAGTACCAGCCGATGTTTAACTTTTATAAGCATACATGTGCACGAGACCATGCAGGCACATACACATTCTTCCAAGTCTCTTGAATGAAGTCACTAACTTAAGAACCTGAAAAACACTACTAAGCTATTTAAAAAAATGCCCATATAATTCTGTGTTGAATATTTGTGTGGATTGTTAATAATACTTCCTAAATGTGTTAAAGGTGTTTTCTAGTAAATATTAGCAAATTATTCATCATCTGATAATTATAGACAGTGAAAATAGGTAAGCCTTACAAGATAAAAAACAGGGGGATTACATGGCTTAAAATATGTTGTATACTTTTATGCTTTTAACAGTTCAGATTTCCATAAGGTACAAATGGTGCTTTTAAATGTAATTTTTCACAACATATCCAAGTATTCAAAATACGATTCAATGGTATCTGTAGACTAGCACATAATACAGACTTCAGAAATGAATCAGTTTTTGATTATGTTTTCAGGGCCATAAAGCAAGCACACAAAACAGCAAAGTGAAATTTGCCTAAAAGAAATGTTTATCCCTAGTGCCAACCATTTTGGGAAAAATATAAGGGACAGAAAACAAGAAGTTTTGAGTACCCCCTTATAAATGTGCTTAAAATAAAATTGTTTCATTGATCTGTGACCTACTGTTAACCCACTTGGATTACTGAGGCCTAAATTATTTTCTTGGTATACTACGAAGGAAGGAAGCAATAAAGAAAAGGAAAATGAGATCCACAGCTAAGGTGATTTAGACTTGTAGAATTGACTTCTGTTACTTATGCATCTGTGTGCATATGCGTACGCATGTGTATTCTAATTCACCCAGAAATCCTTGGTACATCCCTGTTAATAGTGAAGTTAGGATGTCAGTACCGACAGTTGAGGTGCCTGGGAAGGCAGTGCACTGTCCAATCACAGACACACACTACAATCACCCCGAAAACCATCAAGGATGGTGAGAGGGCCTGGTGGACAGCACCAGTCACTAACAAAGGAAAACTCATCAGTGAGATGGCAATATTACAAGGATCTATGCTAACTGCCTGGTTTCCATCGTGTAGTGGTTATCACGTTCGCCTCACAAGGATCTATGCTGCAGCTATTCTGTTGGTCAGATAGTGATTCAGAAATGTAAGGAGACAAGGTGAAAAAAACCTGTTATTTTTCAGTAAATATTGTGTGAGGTAAAAGAATGGAGTTTTGCTAGGTGTAGTGACATGAATTTTAAGTACATAAGAATGAATTGGGCCAAATTTTCCATTAAAATAGAAGCTGTTATAAAGCAAATACAATACTAGTAAATATATACTCATTTCCAACATGCAGAAGAAATTATTTTCCCATTTGTTCTCAAGCCTCACAGTGGGCAAGATAAAATTGTCTCAGAATACCACAGATTCCCCATGAAGTCGAATTTATTCTTGGAACTTTAAAACTGGAAACTTGAAAATGCCAAGGAATCAGTATACTTCATAAACTTAAGTGAAATAATGTGTTTGTGAAATTTAACCTACAAATGTTACAATGTACTTCATATTTAGTGAACCCTATCAGTTCAACGATTTTACTATATAAATTATTTTTTTTTCTTATCTCTTCATGAGTGGGAAGCAACTGAGGGTTAAATAATAGATGTATTTTAATTGGTTAGCTCCTTGATTTTTCCTCAGTTTTTAAATTTAGTCTATGAGTTTACTAATTTTTTCAGGAAGCAAATGATGAGAAAAGGAAATTCAACTAGCTAAATGCATAGGTGTCTAAGATTTGAATGAATTTCTTTAATATAGCCAAACACTAAAAATAGTTTTATGAAGCACATATTTTTAAAATAATTCAAATAAACTATGTCCTATAGAGAAAATGTTCATTTGAAGAGAGGACAGGTGTTTCTGGAGATGTTTTACACTGGGCTGTGTTTGAAACATCTGCAATCTAAATTGAAGCACTTTCGCTAGTTACCCACCGGCTTTTAGTCCCAAAGCTTAATACAAATAGTAGATAACTTCATATTATCACACCTTTTAATTGGCAGGAGAAACGTTAAAGTAAGTGCTGTGAAGAAAATGAAAGCCAGTGATGGGACAGAGAGCGAGTGAGCAGACACAAGGGACAGAGCAGTCTACGAACCTCTGTCCCTAGAAGTGGTAGGCCTAGAGCCTAGATAAGATGGTGAAGTACCACTGCAGGTGAGATCCGGGGGGTCATCAGGACAAAATTAGGGTAACATTTTCAGACAATAACTAAAATCAACTTGTTCACTTGTACTTTAGTATTGAAATAGAATCTGTCCAGTGAAACACTATTTAAAAATAGAAAAATGCTCAATGTTAGAAACAATAACCAATCAGAAAATGTTAAGAAAGCCGAGTTTCAATACACAAGAACAGCTACAATTGGAATAACTACAATTGGAATTGGAATAACAACCTCAGTCTTCCTCTTAAGAGAAAAATGGCCAGACGCTCAAGCAGTAGTGGAAATTGGTTCCTTTACTTTCGTAAAAGGACACGGGCCAGCGCTGTGGCGCAGCGGGTTAAAGACCTGGCCTGAAGTGCTGGCACACCAAACAGGCTCCAGTTCTAGTCCTGGCTGCTCCTCTTCCAATCCAACTCCCTGCTATGGCCTTAGAAAGCAGTAGTAGATGGCCCAAGTCCTTGGGCCCCTGCACCCACGGGGAGATCCGGAAGAAGCTCCTGGCTTAGGATCGCATTGCAGCCATCTGGGGAGTGAACCAGAGGATGGAAGACCTCTACCTCTCCCTATAACTCTTTCAAATAAACAAAATAAATCTTTTTTTTTTTTTTTTAAAAAAAAGGACATGTAGCTTACCATTCAGCAAGGTAATTTACAACATGCATACATTTCCTTTATTAATAACATAGAACTGGACTGAAGATCATGGTATTAAAATATTTAATGATCAACTTTAGTTAAAAGTCCGGTTGAAAGAACTGATATTTGTAAAGCAGCTTACAATTATTAATTGAACTACTCTATCTCCTATTGTTTCTTTGATTTAGGACAAATGACTAGAAAGCTGGCTACCTTGGTCACTTTGTTTTTATCTCCACTCCAAACTGTGATAATAAACCTCTTTTATCACCATCAGGTTGACTGATACTAAAGAGCATTGTAAAATTGAAATGTAACAAGCAGCCATCTTTACAACCTCTTATTCCATTTATTGAAGGGATGTAGCCACCAACATTTTTCACGTCATTAGTTTTGCTTCCACCCTGAGATTCATGTCCAAAATTTCTCAAAGGCCCAGGAAATGATTTTTCTTTTTCTCGGAGAAATCAACGCATGTAAGCCTGGTGGACAAAGTGAGTCTCCTAGCTGAGAGTCGATTGGTTTCGTTTAAACCAGACCAACAGTGCCACTTTCATTCTGTGGGCCTTTGGCTTACAGATCTTCATCTCCCATTTCTCCTTGCTTTTGATTGTTTTCTTCTCTTTGTATTTATGTCCCCAATTTTTATCAACTTACTGTCATCCTAAATTCATTCACTCAAGACTCCTCATAACTTATGTGAAATCAGTTGGGTTATATTTAAGGAGACAAAGCAGAAAATTACAGTGACTTCACCTTTTATTTTTTTCTGGATTAAAGGTGACTATGTGAATAAAATATCTCATGGGAAAAATACAGATGAATATTATCAAAATAGTATTTCCAGAATGAAGACTACTTTTGAGGGCCTTGGAGAATTTCATGGAGTTCAAATATTACTCTGTGGAAAAAGGTCTTGAAATGTGGTTCACCTATACCTCAAGGAGGAGGTCTTCTCCCAGCTGGCTCACCCAGATGTCAACATTTCAAATGAGGTTTGTACACAAATAACAATCTTTCCTCCCCTTGCCAGTTTTCATACTCCAATCTCCTATGACTACCATAATAACAGGAAAATATGTAACACTCTTGTGACAGAAAAAGTAAGCCTTAGGCTTTGAGATTTGCACTTCACTCATTAATATTCCTGCAGAGCTCTCAGCGTGCATCAACATTCACTATGTATCTGGGTGTCTAATTGCTACTCAGTCCTGCCTCTCACAATGGAATGACTATGAAATTCTGTAATTCCTATATACTGAAATATTCTCAGACATCAAATGGCCTCATTTGAAAACTAAGAAATGCAAAAGGACACGAATAAACAGTAACACTCTTAAGTCTTGAATCACAACAGTGCAGAAATATTGATCAGGTTAATTCTGACAAGAAATCCCTTCTGTTTAAATGATGATTTCACACTGACTCCCTCTATTTGGACTGAAGCCACACTTAGACAAATTATAGCTCCTATTCATTAGTGTATTTAATTCAATTCTACTAAGTAACCCGTAGAATTTATTTTCCAACATTGGTCAAATGATTCTGAAGCTTGCCAGGAAAAATAAGCAGAGTAACCTAGATAAAAGAATTTTATTTTAGTAGAACAATGAAAAGGTGCTAGATATACCAGACCTCATTTTAATGGTATGAAACTGACTTAAAATTAGAGAGACAGGGAAATAAAACAGAATGACAG